AACAGTCTCTCCAAAAGGACTAGTCATGTTAGCCTCTTCACTGTGCACAGAGCAACACACACTATCCTAGAGTTAAGTTGTTTCCCAAACTGGAAAACCTCTTTCAGCTTCTAACCATCAAGGCCTGGCTCAAAATCTACCACTCTCCACAAAGCCTTATTATCTGAACCGTGTAACACTTAAAACAGATTCCAAAATGATGGATGAAATGCCACATGTGATGTACAGGTATCTTTTGTCTGGCTCAGACTTTTTAAAAGAAAACATTTCATTAACAACATTTTTCAACTGGAAGTTATCACTATTTGGAAGTACATTTTTAAATGTTTCTTGAAAAAACTGGATGCTCTGGCAACACTGGGACCATACTGTTACATGGCCACAATCAACTAAAGCTAAATAGCAGCCCACCCCGCCCTTTCAACAGGCTCTTAGGCTCTATGTCAACCACCTAATTTCTGAGATTATAGCTGTAGAAAATGCCTAAATGTGTATCATGTGCCACAAAGTGTACTGTCACTAGATTTACGAAGATGAGTTCCTCCCCACCCCTGCCCTACCTCTAGTCTAGTTTACTAGGGAAATCTAAGAGACAAGCAATTACTATACATGTGATCAGTGCTGTGATGAGGGAAATAAAAGGTACTTATAGCACACAGCAAAGTATCTTAACTCTTATCTATGAGAAGTTGGAGAATGCCCCTCAGCTGTTTAGACAGCTAAACTCTGATCTTTATTAGGAGGAGTTATCCAGTAACAGGTATAGAAGTAAAGAGACCACAAATCCCAGAGAGAGGCAAAAGGGCCTTTGCAAAGACTTCCCCAGCCCACAGACAGGAAAAGTATTTTGAAAATGTGAAATCAGTTCACTATGGCTAGAGTCATTGCCTAGCCTTTACATCCAGGTGTCAGAGAAAATGCTCAATTGAAAGGATTGGAAGGGAAAGCCACGTTTCAGTTAAGTTCAGGAGATAAAAGAGTTTCAGTAAAAAGGCTGAATATGTTGAGTTTGTTTTGGAAAAAAAAAAAATTCAGAGAGCACAGCTGTGTTGCTGAGAGGAGAAATAAGTAAGAAAAGGAGGGAGAAACAGTAATCGCCTAAATCAAAAGCGATAAAACACAAAGCAGCATAGGAATGAGGGTACAGTATATGAGACCAAAGGGGCTTACATCTTGGGTGGTAACCAAGGACAACATGTGGAGCATGGTAGGTTTGGCTGGCCACAAATTTCCCAAGAAAGTTAGTCCCAAAGATCCGCTGGATGGGGTAGCATTTAGACCTCTCAAAATTCAGCTGCGCCCTGGATGGATTGTACTTCCGTCTCTCTAGAAAGCATCGGCTTCAGTCTGGATTGATTGTGCAAGCTCCAGGAGAGTCTCTGACCAGGCTGCTGACAGGCAGGCTTCTAGGATATGGTTAGAGGCCTGGTCTGTGTGTGCTGGTGAGTAGAAGTTAAGTATAAACCTTGCATTATTTTTCTGCAGTAATGATGGATCTGTTTATGGTCTCTTAGAAAAAAAAATAGTGTGTGCCCATTATAGATTTACAGGAAGTAAAAAGTGCCAGAAGTGCAAAATTAGTTCCTACCAAGACTCAAGGTAGGTTACTGTGTGTTAAACTCTTCGCCTAAATTTGGCCAAGGAGGGGGTGGGGGAGGCCTATTTTACACTTTTCTGTAGCTCCCGAAATGCCTAATACCGAGCTGGGTAGGGTCGACTACATTCACAAAAATTACTGATTACCTGATTGATCTCGGATCATTGGCGTTACCTAGCTCAGTGCTCTTTTTGCATATTAAGACGTTACGAAAACAAAAAACCACTATCTTAGATCTAACACTTTACATTATTCCAAACTCCACTGCGTCTCTCCAACCCAATCCGCATCGGCAGAACTGTTGCACTGTTCAAGTGCAGCAGAAGACTCTAGGTACCGCCAAAGAAAATACCTGCCAGCCTGACCATCCTTCTTTCATCCCCGCGCCCCCCAAATGTAACAGGCAGCGCGCCACTACCTACCCACCTCTCAGACAGGTAAAATGCGCTCAACGACTCTGGGCCGCCAGGAGATCCCGTAACGTAGTCGTCCGTTCCCTACAGTTCTCTCAGAAGGCACTTCCGGCGCGCACATTGCGTCACCAGAAGCGCCCGCCTTTGTGCCCGCCTCCCGGGTCTGGGTCTTTACTGCGTCGGAGGCGCGTCTAACAAGAGCCAGGTAGAAGCAGAATGGCCGTTCCCTTTTTGCTTAGGTGCCTGACCCCTACCAGGACCCGTGATACTGCGGACGCGGAGTGAGGCGAAGGTTGTCTGGGTTGAGCCTCAGCTGAGCCTAAGGCTCGCGCGCTCCTAGACTCTTCGGTCAGACTTCTAGTAGTCGTTAAGTTCCGTTGTGTCGGTTCTGACTCATAGCTACCCTGTATAGGGTATCCAAGGAGCAGCTGGGGGGTTTGAACCACCGACTTTTGGGTTAGCAGTCCAGTGCTGATCTTACAGTGCCACACGAGGACTCCGGGCCCGTCTTAGCTGAAGGTAATCGCCTGCCCAGCTGCTTCTCTTTCCCTGTGGGTGTCCTCCCACACCCGGCCGGCCACCTCGTTTACCACTCACCCCCATCCATATCATTCCATTTATATCTGTACCTGGAGTCCTGGTGGGGCGCTGTGGGTTAATGCGCCAGACTGCAAAGCCGTTTGAACCACAAGGTCGGCGGTTCAAGCTCACCAGCTTCTCGGAAACCCTATACAGGGTCGCTATGGGTCGGAACCGACTCGATGGCACTTAACAACAACAACAACCTTCACAGTTCTCACTGAAACGTGTAATTTACGTATAACTCCAAATGGGTAACTTTCAAAAAGCGACTTACCCATATTGAGTTCTTGAACTTTCCTAAATAAGTTTTTAAAACCCCAAGCATCTAGCAGTTTTCCCATTATTTCGTGAGTTGCGTGCCTTATTAGCAGTGTTTTCGCTGTTTGTGACAATCCGTTATCCTCATCTCAAACACATGCTTGTTAAGTCGAGGCGGTTCCGACACATATCGACCCAGTATAGGGTTTCCGAGGCTTTAAAACTTCGCGGGAGTAGAAAACCTCACCTTTCTTCCACGGAAAGGCTGGCAGGTTCAACCTCGGACCCTGTGGTTTGCAGTCCAGATCTTATTGTTATGTGCCTACGGCGGCTGGTGCGCTTGAACAGCCAACAGTGAGGTTCAAACCAATTTTGCAGTGCAGTGCATTAACCCACAGCGCCACACCAGGATACCTTTTTAAATAAAAATTTGAGCTTGGTTATATTCGCTGTAATTTTCAAAAATAATTTTCTTTGTAAATTAAGATGTGAAAATTAAATACAAGTTATACTGTAAAGAGGGAAAAAGGTGAAGCTTTCTGCTCCTGCAAAGATTTAAAGCCTCAGAAACCCTGTACAGGGTCTCCCAGAGTAACAACAGACTTAAGGAGCTTTAACAACAATACTTGTAAAACATCCCTCAGGGCATTGAACCTAGTCATTTAACAAAATTGGCAATGACATGATTTTAAAGAACTTTTACATATGTCAAATTGAGAGGCTATAAATTCTCTTTACATCAGAGAAGAATATTAAGAAAGCCAAAAAGGTACCTAGCCATTTTTTTGTTTAGTGAACAGCTGCTAAAGTTTCTTTTTGAGCTCCTGGATTCTTTTTGAAGTGGATGAGCAAGGTATAGTACAAATTCAAAAGACTCTTGTCTCAATTGTCTTACTCTTATTTAGCCTTGGGGGGAAATTAAGAGTGGCTTAAGTGTTTTTACTGCTTCTGTTGGTAATCTACATACAGGAACTAATAAAAATTACCTGAAACAAAGACCAGAAGACTTTGTAAATGGTGTGTGAGGCAATCCCTATACAAACAGCAGGAGTCCTGGTGTGGTGCTGTGGCTTAATGCAATGGACTGCAGAGTCGGTTTGAACATCAAGGTGAGGGCTTCAAGCTCACCAGCTGCTCCTCAGAAACCCCATACAGTGCTGCTATAGGTTGGAACTAACTGGATGGCTTAACAAAATATCCTTCTAAAGTGTTGTATATCTTGACCTTTATGCCACAGCGTTGGTCGCCTCATGAGTCGCTATCACATAAGCACAGGACTGCCAACCGGAAAGGCAGAGGTACAGACCCACAAACCCTGTTGTTAAGTGACGTAGAGTCGGTTCCAACCCATAGCAACCCTATATAGGGTTTCCGAGGAGCAGCTGGTGAGCTTGAACCACAAAAGGCTTTGCAGTCTGGCACCTTAGCACTATACAGAGTCAGAAAAGACTTGGCAGCATTTAACAACATGCCCGTGGCTGTTAATAGCATTTGGGAATTGGGTTGCCTTTGCTATATGCTATTCAGCCAGGATTGGCATAGGGTGTATTTTAAGTGACTCTATTTTGAGATACAAAGATCAAACAAGCGAACCGAAAGAAGCACAGATGGGGAAAAATATGCCAATACATATGAAGATCACCAAGGAGCCAAGAATATTCTCCCAGGCCCACAGAGAGAGCCTTCCCCTAGAACGAACACCCTGAATTCGAACTGCTAGCCTCCTAAACTGAGAAAATAAATACTTGTGAAAACCATCCACTTCTGGTATATCTGTTACAGTAGCACTAGATAACTAAGACCTGACAGCTAGGGGAATTGTTAAATGTTATCGTATCGGTTCCAACCCATAGTGACCTTGTATAGGATTTCCAACGAGCAGCTGGTGAGCTTAAACCAGTGAGCTTGAACCACCAACCTTGTGGTTAAAACCAACTTTGCAGTCTAGCACAGTACTAGGACTCCAGCTAGGGGAATAGGAATGCCTGGATTTAGCCATCATTGTTCCTAACTATTCCCAAAATGTAACTTAAATAAGTAACTTAAATATGGCCAGTTACTTAAATAAGTAACTGGCCATATTGGTTTTACGTGGAGTGAAGAATACCAGGTTTAGACTGTTTATGGTTGTTTTGTTTTTTTCTTTTTAGAAATGAGTGGTGGATTGGCTCCAAGTAAAAGTACAGTATATGTATCCAACCTGCCCTTTTCCCTGACAAACAATGACTTATACCGGGTAAGTTGTAGTGTTGTTGCTATTGTTAAGTAACACCAAGTCGGTTCCAACTCAGCAACCCTGTATAGGGTTTCCAAAGAGTAGCTGGTGGGTTTGAACTGCTGACCTTGTGGTTCACAGTCCAGTGCTGATCCTATACACCAGGAGCTGTAGATGAGATGTAAATGAGATAAATCCAATTTAACTATGGATAAATAATTTATCTATTTAAGACATAGATAATCTATTTACATACCCTAAGCAATCAGAACTCTCTCTGACAAAGTTCTTGTTACGTACCGAACCAAACCAAACCAAACACACTACCATTAAATCAATTCTGACAAATGGCGACCCTATATAGGGTTTCCGAGGCTGTAAATCTTTACAGGAGCAGAAAGCCTTTTATTTCTCCTGCAGTGTTGCTCCTGCGTTTGAACTACTGGCCTTGCTGTTAGTTGTTGTTGTTAAGTGCCATCGAGTCAGTACTGACCCATAGCGACCTTATGCACAGCAGAACGAAACTGATCCCAGGCCAACCTCACTACTGTTGCCACGCTTGAGTCCATCGATGCTGCCACTTGGCCAATCCATCTGGTTCGGGGTCTTCCTCTTTTTCTCTGACCGTCCACCTTACCAAACATGATATCCTTCTCCAGCGACTGGTCCTTCCTGACAATAGATCTGAAGTATGAGAGACGAAGTTTGGCCATCTTGGCCTCCAAGGAGCACTCTGGCTGCACTTCTTCCAAAATGGATCTATTGGTTCTTTTGGCAGCCCATGACACTTTCAATGTTCTCCTCCAACACCATAACTCAAAAGCATCAATTCTTCTATGGTCTTCCTTATTCACTGTCCAACTTTCACATGTATATGAGGTTATTGAAAATACCATGGCAGTAGTCCAGTGCTTATCCTAGGTACCACCAGGGCTCCTTTGTTAAGTACATTATGATTCACTGAAATCATCAATTTAATGAACTGTATTGCAAATGTGAGAGTCCTGGTGTGGCGCTGTGGGTTAATGCACTGGATTGCAAAGTCGGTTTGAACTGCAAGGTTGGCAGTTGAAGCTCACCAGTTGCTTATAGGAAACCCTCTACAGGGTCACTATGGGTTGGAACCGACTTGACAGCACTTAACAACAATTGCAAATGTGAATAGAGGAAAAAAATAGAAACTTGTAATTTCTAAAGAGAAAACATTAGTTTAAACACAGAAGACATAGCACCATCATAAAGTGGGAGCAAATTGTGAGACTGATTATTCTTACTTGGCTTTTGAAATTGGTAACAGGGTGGAGATACGTGGAGGAAAAGGCTGATGCGAGCAGTGATCCTTTCTTTAATCATAAAATTCTAAAAATAAACCTTAATGTACATACTTGGCAGAAGTTTAAAGTCATTAAGTGCTGTTGAGTCAGTTCCAATTCAGCAATCCTGTATAAGGTTTCCGAGGAGTGGCTGGTGAGCTTGAGCCACAGACCTTGTGGTTCAAACTGACTTTGCAGTCCAGCGCATTAGCTCACCACGCCATACCAGGACTCCAGAAACTTAATAGTTTAGTAAATTTTGTTTTGGTTCCGGATAGGAATAACTAAGAGAGAAAAAAATTTCTTCAGAAATCTTTTTTCACCTCTTTATCTTACAGAGACCAAATTTCCTGCTGTGTCTTTCCTGCAGATGGGTGGTAATGTTGTTAGGTGCTGGGGCGTCGGTTCCAACTCAGCAAACCCATATACAACAGAATGAAATACTGCCTGGTCCTGCGGCATCCTCACATGCATTGCTGTATTTGAGCCCATTGTTGAAGCCACTGTGTCACTCCATCTTGCTGAGAGTCTGTCGCTTTTTTTGCTACTTTACCAAACATCATGTTGTTCAAGGACTGGTCCCTCCTGACCTCTCCAAAGTATGTGAGGCAAAGTCTCACCATCCTTGTTTTTAAGAAGTATTCTGGCTGTATTTCTTACAATACAGACATGTTCGTTCTTCTGGCAGTCCATGGTATGTTTGAAATTCTTTACCAACATCATAGAGTCCTGGTATGGCACTGCAGGATATGCACTAGACCACAAAATCGGTTTGAACCACAAGGTCAGAGGTTCAAATTCACCAGCTGCTTCTCAGAAACTCTATACAGGGTTGCTGTGAGGCAGAACTGACTCAACAGCACTTAACAACCAACATCATAATTCAAAGGCATAGATTCTTCTTCAGCCTTTATTCACTGTCCAGCTTTTTGTATGCCCATAGACGAATGAAAATAACCATGGCTTGAGTCAGATACAGCAGATGGGTAGTTGAGAAGAATGAAAAGGGAGGATATGAATTCTTTTTTTTTTCATGAACCCTTTTAAGTGTGTCTTGTTCTCAATGCTACTTTCAGAAAATGTTATAAAAGGGCTGTTGCATATTGCATAGGTGAACTACGGTATTTGGTTGATTAACTAAGAGTTCTTGAGTCTGAAAGAACACGAGAAAGTGAATTTTAGCTTCCTTATATCAACATAATAAGGAGCTCTGGTAGCGTAGTGGTTACGAATCGGGCTGCAAACCTTAAGGTCAGCGGTTTGAAACTACCAGCCGCTCCGCGGGAGAAAGATGAGGCTTTCTACTCCTGTAAAGATTTACACCCTCGGAAACCCTATACAGGGTCGCTATGGGTCAGAACCGACTCGATGGCACATAACAACAACAACAAAATATCAACATAGGGACATTTCTATATTTAGTGAACGCTTGCTATATACTGAGCATTATTCCAAATATTAGAGATATACAGGGGGGATCAAAAAGTTTGTGGGAAAATGGAATTAAAAGATAATAGAATTTTCCACAAACTTTTTCTATGAGCCCCCTCATATAAATGAACACACAGATAAAAATATCTCATAGAGCTCGCAGTATAGTGGGAAAAATAAACTATAAGTAAAATGATATTGTACCTTAGTAATAGCTGCTAAGGACAAAAAAATAAATTAGGAAAGGACAGCTATTAAATGTTAAGTTGAGAAGGAGGTGAAATTTTAAGTCAGAAAAGCCCTCATTGGGGTGATTTTTTTTTTTTTTTTTTTTTTTAAATCAAGATCTGAAGGAATTAAGAGCCAACTGTGCAGACCATCCAGGTGACAAGCATATCAGCCATAAAATAAATCAAGTGGAGAGAAAAAGACGGGTAGTCAGAGAGGCAAACCCACAGCAGGGAAGAAGGTCTTGTCAGACATACATAAATCATAGTAATAACTGGATTTCACTCACAAGTGAAATGAGAAACCATTAGAATGTACTGAACACAGAAATGACCATATCATATTTACATTTTAATAAGCTCATTCTGGCTGCTGTTTGAAACTAAAACTCAGTAGAGGGCAATGGGCACAGAAAAGCAAGGGCAGACAAAACAGGGAGATCACTTAGGAAGCTCTTGGCAGTAATTAAAGCAAGAGATACGGAGACATTTCTGTTTCTAAGTATTGTACTAGACGCTAGAGATATAAAGGATATTGAAACTTCCCCCTAGTAGGAGATTACAGTCTAATGAGATAATGCCATTCATACTTTATTTAGCAAGCTTTCATTGAGCAGCTTTCATATTCTAGATAAGTAGTAGGCACTTTGCTTATTTAGGTCTTAGATCACTTCCTGAAGATGTTGACCCTTGAGCTAAAGTTTGAAAGACAATAGGTAACAAGGCTTAGTTCTCCTAGAGAGCTGAAATGCTAAGATAACAAAAACATATATAAAATTCCAAGACAAGAAAACTTGATATATTCAGAGAGCAAATATTTTCTACATAGAAATTGCAGAAAGACCAGTTGAGAGGTTTATTGAAGTAATGATCTGGACCAAGTAGCATGTAGTATTTTAACTACTTAATGAATATGCACTATGACTAGATAGCCTTGTAAGTACTGGAGTATGGTCCCTGGCCTCGGTGAACTGGAATTGATAGTAACAAGGGTAGAAAATTGATAGAATTTTTTTTTTTTTTTGGAAAGATAAAATTGATAGGATTTGGTAACTAATTAAATATGGAGAGGAAGATGATAATTCTTTTGTGAAGGAGCTCTGTTGACATAACGGTCAGCACTCAGCTGCTCAACAAAAGGCCAGTGATTCAACCCATCTATTCACCTTGAGAAACAAGACCTGACCATCGTATGGTTATGAATCGGGCTGCTAACCTCAGGGTCAGCAGTTCGAAACTACCAGCCGTTCCGCCAGAGAAAAGATGAGGCATTCTGCTCCCGTAAAGATTTACAGCTTTGGAAACCCTTACTATGAGTCGGAATCAACTCCACAGCATATAACAACAACGACAATCTTCCTGAGAAGTGCCTGGTGGGCTCAAATCAACCTTGTGGTTCCCAATCCAGTGTTTATCCTGCAGAAACAACCTAGTAAATCCTATGGGGCAGTTCTACTCTGTCATATAGGGTCACTGAGTGGGAATCAACTAAACACACAACAATTTTTAATATGGATGATCACCCAAGGAATGTAGTGTTATTTTATTGTTATGTGCTGTCCAGTCTGTGCTAACTCATAAAGACCCCATATAGGGTTTCAGAGGAGTAGCTGGTGAATTTGAACTGCTGACCTTAAGGTTCAAACCAACCTTGCAGTCCAGTACATTACTCCACAACGCCACACCATAGGTGTTATTAAAGCCACTGAGAAATTTTGAGGACTGCCAACATTGACCAGACTATTAAAGGAAGAAGAACCTATGTGGAAGACTTGAAGGCACAACCAGAGAAATAGAAACAGGCCAGAAATTACTATCAGTGTAACAGGCAAGAGGGTTTCAAAAGAGAAAGGAAGTATCAACAGTGTATATGTAGAAAGATCAGGTAATATATATGAAGCAAAATAGACACTCATTAGATTTGGCAATCATTTGATGACTTCACTGAAAGCATATTTCTTGGAGTGGGAGGTATAAAAGTCAAACTGCAGTGAACTGAGTAATTGGGAGAGTGAGAGTGTAGGAGATTTCAATAGGCCTGTGAAGGAAATAGATTTTTCATTACAGAACCTTTTTGTTGTTATTTTATGTTTTAATTAGCAGTCTAAGGATCTGTGTTCTGAAACATTGAGTACAACATTCATATTCAAAGTACATGGTTTCTCTAGGAGTTGTGGTGGGATTGATAGTTGCCCTGGCTATGCTAAAGGAAGTCCAGTGTGTGTGCCTTAGCACTACCATACAAGGAGTGTTGGTTTCTCTTGTATCCACTCCACTAACAAACTGTTAAGAACTGAGCCAGATACATGTGACTGTAACAATGAGAATATGAGTAGAACCTCCAAAAATATCTATTTCTTGAGAGCTGCCTTATATACTAGAGGCTAAAATGTCTCATAAAGTACAACAAAGAATTGGGTCATTAGTACAACCTGAAAATGTAAAATTTTTATGATTTTAAATTAAAGTAGAAATTATTATGTGGTCTTTTGTTTCAGATATTTTCCAAGTATGGCAAAGTTGTAAAGTAAGTATTCACATTAAATTTTGGAGCTTCATTTAAAAGTTCATCTGAATTTGTTTCTGATTTTTTTTTTTTTTAATGGGAATAGATTTATTTTTTTCTGTTGTTGTTTGCTGTTTTTATAAAACATATATTAGATATAACAAAGAAAATAAAAACAGTACTATTAATGTTTTTATGTATATTTCAGATACTTTTCTACATACATAAACACATCTAGACAGTTCTTTCCAGAAAGACTTAATTTTGTACATGCATTTTTTTTGTCTTATTTGACTTGTCATATCATGAATATTTTTCCATGTACTTTAAAGAAATAGCCTCATATTTAATGATTTAATGGTATTTTACTATATATCATAATTTATTTAAACAAACTGTATCATTTCTTACCATATTACTAAGGACTATGCATAATTCTGTTATCAATTATAAGATATAAATTAAAGGTAATTTATAGCTGATTAAACAAGTATTTTGATTACTAGAAGTTATGACATATATTATGAATGAGTCATTATTTACCAAACAAATGTATAAAACCAAATATTTCAATGTATATGATGCTTAAAATGCTTATGAGACTGATAAATAACATATTCTCTGCCTTCATAGAAAACTTAGGAGTTAGAAAGAATGGAAATTAAAAAATGGTTAATGAATGATAATATCCATTATTTAATACAAAAGGAACTTAAAGTTCTCTTTAATTCACTGTGTTTTAATAATCAAAAGTATACTATGGGGAAAATAAGTAAAATTCTGTCACTTTATGTTATAACCAGTACTTTAAGACTCAATCTGGTATGTATTTGAAATCCTATTTAAATTCCTGAGAATTTCGTGCATACTTATTTTGGCTACTTATTTTTCTTATAGCTTTCCATAAATTCATTTTAAACAGTTGAAGTTCATTTGTTTCTTGATATTTTTAACATCTTTTAAACTTACTTCTCTACTTAAGATCATTATCAAAAGTGCTTCTGGGTTAATGTTTGGATCATTAGAATTTTCTAAGAATCTCAATCAGAACACCAATAATGGATGATATGTAACACTTAATGAGGTGCTAGGTGCCTGCTTCTGTAATGAATTATAGCCAAGAACACCCTGTTGAAGCAGTTCTACTCTATAACACACAAGTGACCATGTGTCAGAACCAGCTCCATAACAGTGGGTTTGGTGTTGTACTTTTGTCTGTTATTAAAAACTACTTTTCTCATGTGTGCCTACCTTTTGTTGTAAACATATTAAGCTAGGCATGTAGAAATCACAAAGCCAACCTTAGAAAAGTTTATATTAAAATAATTGAAAAGCAGCATTGTGTATATATAAACAAATGATCTCAGGAGAATCTAACAAATAGAAGTTATTTCCACATAAAGAGATTTTTTGTTGTTAAGTGCCATCTAGTTAGTGCCAACCCATACCGCTCCTGTATAGTGTTTCCGAGGAGCGACTGGTGAGCTTGAACTGCCAACCTTGTGGTTCAAATGACTTTGCAGTCCAGAGCATTAACCTACAGCACCAAAGAGATTAGGAAACTAATAATTGATGTGCACTTTGAAAAATGAGTCAGTTTTAATAAGCTAAGATTGAAAGGTGAAAGAAGATAGAAACAATGAAAAGAGGTACCAACTTGGGGATAATAGTCCATGCTACATGAACACTGACTGAGAAGCTTATTTTAACTAGAGCTCAGAGGTTATGAGTGGAGAGTAGTAGTGAAAGATAAGGAAGGTGGGAACCATATCATACAGGATTTTGATTCCTGGTCCAAATTGGAATTTGGAAGCTCCAAATATTTTTGAACAAATAAATGATGTGATTTTATTTGCTATTTAGAAGACTTTTCTGTTGGTATATAAGCAATAAATAGTATCAAGGAAAGCATTAAAAATAGGCTGTAGGAATAATAGTGATGATTCATAGCAACATTGTATAGGGTTTCCAGGGAATGGCTGATGGGTCTGAACTGCAGACCTTGCAAGGTAGCAGTCCACTGTTTATCCTACTGCACCAAACCAGTACCCATGAAGATTATAGTCTAAAAAATCTTATTTTTTCTGTGGTTTATAATTCATTATGCTTAATTACTGTAGTACTTAAATTTTCCTAGATATGGCCAGTGGGGACTACTTTAAGCTAGTTTGTATGTTTATTCTTGTAAAAGAAATGCCCCATCTTTGGGGTTTTTTTGGTTTAAGCTCCTCTTTATTTTCTAAAGTAAAGGATGTTCTGAGCTCATCTTGTTATTCTAGAAAATAGAATAACAAGATGAATAACAAGATTCTATATGCCCTAGCCCTGTCATTGTTGTTGTTAATTGCTCTTGAGTCGGTTATGACTCGTTGCAACCCTATACAAGGTTTCAGAAAAACTGCTGGTAGATTTGAATCGCCAACCTTGCAGTTCAAACCGACCTTGTAGTTCTTATCCTACAGCACCACACCAGCTAGTTCTCCAAGGAGCCCTGCTGAACATTGATAAGTTTAATGCATATAGAGCAAGAGCCTCAAGACTAGACTTGTTTAAGGGGTCAGGAGAAAGAGCATGCTCTGTGCTCTTCTTCCCAGCCCTCTCACTCAGGTATGTTGGGTGGTATGGCTAAGGACCAGTAAACTGGTTGTTGTTGCTGTTAAGTGCCGTCAAGTTGGTTCCAACTCATTAGAGTCTTGAAAAAGACAATTTAAAATACAACTGGATCTGAAACCTAGCAAAATAGAACAATTTAAGTAGTTCCTTTTTCTTTTTGTCTAGAAAGGAATACCTCAGTTTGTTGTTTTGTGTTTTGTTTTTAAAAGATGAAGACCTTCGTATAGGAAAAGAATCATGCTCATTCTTTAAGATTACACTGTCTCTGTAATCTCTTTATGTCAATCTTCAGCTTTCTGATTACTCCTCCCATTAATATTTGATGTATCATACATACACTCCTTGTAGCTGTGCTCACTTGTATTGAATTGTTGTAAGAGTTGCTCGTTTTCGCTCTTGATTCCCTAGACTCTGAAGAGGTAGCTGATTTGTCAAATATATTTATTTCTCTTTGTAACTTTTTTTTATTAACTTTAAAAAACAAAACAAGTTTTCTTAGTATTTATTAGTATCTGTTTATTGTTGCCTTTTGTTTTTTTAAACTATTTCTTTATGCTTTAAGGGTTACTATAATGAAAGATAAAGACACCAGGAAGAGTAAAGGGGTTGCATTTATTTTATTTTTGGATAAAGAATCTGCACAAAACTGTACGAGAGCAATAAACAACAAACAGGTAAGTCATTTGTTCCCAAGGCTTTTAACCCAAAAGCCTTTATTCTCATCCTGGAAAAAAATGTGGGGATTCAGATAAAAAGCAGTAGATTCTGTGGATATCTATCTTAGTGAAAATAAAACTTTATGGGAATCCCCAAACATTGATAGAATCCAAGGAATCAGAACACAAAAAAGAATATGCCACATCCAAGTAGCCAACTGATATAAAATGGAATTAAATATATAAAGAAATGAGACCAAGTAACTGATGATTCTATGAAATACGTTTACATTGTTCTCTGGTTTAGTTATTTGGTAGAGTGATAAAAGCAAGCATTGCTATTGACAATGGAAGAGCAGCTGAGTTCATCCGAAGGCGACACTACTTTGATAAATCTAAGTGTTATGAATGTGGGGTGAGTAAACCTAACTTAATGAAATTCTCCATATTTTAAACAAAACTCAGGACTTTACAGTTTTGATATTTACAATATTTTCATTTAAGATATTTTTACTTTACTTATCATCATCAAAATTTCTGACTGGCTCAAACTGGGTTATGAAATTCATTTACTTAATTGCTATCACGGACTGAACTGTGTTCCTAAAAAATATGTGTCAGCTTGACTAGGCCATGGTTCCCAGTAATTGTGTGGTTTTCCTCCATTTTTCCTGATTTCAAACCATTATGATCTGATATTATCTTCCTTCCTTTTGTGATGTTGTTAGGTGCCATCATGTTGGCTGTGACTCACAGCAACCCTATGCACAGTAAGAACAAAATGCTGCTGCCACTGTCAGTCCATCTCATCGGGGGTCTTCCTCCACTTTACCAAACATGATGTCCTTTTCCAGGGACTTGTTGTTGTTGTTAAGTACCGTGGAGTTGGTTCCGACTCAGAGTGACCCTGCACAGGGTTTCCAAGGCTGTAAATCTTTATGGGAGCAGAATGCCTCATCTTTCTCCTGCGAACCGCTGGTAATTTCGAACTGCTGACCTTGAGGTTGGCAGCTCGACTCATAACCACTATGCTTCCAGGGACTAGTCCCTCCTAATAATATATCTGAAGTAGGAAAGACAGTCTCACCATTCTTGCTTCTATGGATCTTTCTGGCTGGCTGTATCTCTTCTAACACAGACCTGTTTGTTCTTCTGGAAATCCATGTTGCTTTCAATATTCTCCTCCCAACACCATAACTCAAATGCATCAATTCTTCTACAGTCTTTCTTATTCATTGTCCAACTTTCACATGCATATGAGGCTTCTGAAAGTACCATGACTTGAGTCATGTGCACCTTAGTTCTCAAACTGCCATCCTTGTTCTTGAACATTTAAAGAGGTCTTGTGCAGCAGATCTGCCAAATGCAATACACCTTTCACATGCATTTGAGACATGGCTTGAGTCATGCACACTTTAGTTCTCAAACTGACATCCTTGTTCTTGGAACATTTTAAAGAGGTCTTATGCAGCAGATTTGCCAAATACAATACATCTCTTGTTTTCTTGAGTGCTGTTTCCACCAGTGTTTATTAGGCTATGCAAATCAACAGTGGATTGCAGTGGATCCAAGCAAAATTAAGTCTTTGCCAACTTCGATCTTTTCTCCATTTATCATGATGTTATTTACTGGTCCAGTTGTGAGGATTTTTGTTATCTTTACATTGAGGTGCAATCCATCCTGAAGACTATGGTCTTTGACCTTTAACATTAAGTATATTAAGTCCTCTTCAAGGTTGTACCATCTACATTTCACAGGTTGTTAATGAGTCTTCCTCCAATCTTGATGCCACATTCTTCATATATTTTAACTTCTTAGATTATTTGTTCAGCATATAGATTAATGAGTATGGTTAAAGAACGCAACTCTAATGCACACTTTTCTTGATTTCAAACCATTCAGTATCCCCTTGTTCTGTTTAAATGACTGCCTGTTGGTCAACGTACAAGTTCCTCATGAGCACAATCAGGTTTTTTGGAATACCCATTCATCCCAATGTTATCCACAGCGTATCATGATCCACACACTCAGAAGTCTTTGTATAATTAATGAAGCACAAGTAAGCATCTTCCTGGCATTCTTTGCTCTCAGCCAAGATCCATCTGACATCAATAATGACATCCCTAGTTCAACATCCTCTTTTGAATCTGGCTTGAGTTTTGACAATTCCCTGTCGATTAATTATTGTAGCCATTATTTATGTATCTTAGCAGAATTTTACTTGCATGTGATGTTAATGATATTGTTCGATAATTTCTGCATTCCTACCTCTCTTTGAAGCGGGCACAAATATGGGTCCTTCCAATTGATTGACTAGGTAGCTGTCTTCCAAATTTCTAGGAATAGATGAGTGAGTAGCTCCAGTATTTCATCAGTTTGTTGAAAGACTTGAATTTGTATTCCTTTAATTCCTAGAGACTTGTTTTTTTACCAATGCCTTCAATGCAGGTTGGGCTTCTTCCTTCAATACCATCGGTTCTTAACCATATGCTATATTTTGAAATGGTTGAATGGCGACCATTTCTTTTTGGTTTTAATTTTCTTCAGCTTCAGCCTGAACTTGTGTATGAGACAGATGTTGATCTGTCTGCAATAGTCTGCCCCTGGCCTTGTTTGGCTGATGATGTTGAGGTTCTCCATTATCTATTCCTTCAGATCTAGTCAATTTGAATCCTCTGTGTTCCATCTGGTGAGCTCCAGGTGTATAGTTGCTATTTAGGTTGTCGAAAAAAAGGTACTTGCAATGAGTAAGACATGGCACTTATACAATTCCATCATGCAGTCTCCAGCATTATTTACATTACCAACACCATGTTTACCAAATACCTATCCTTCCTCTTTGTTTCCAACCGTTGCATTCCAATAAATGTGTGGCTACTCTTTTTTAAATTCTAAGTAATTATCAATGCAGCTTGATTGCATGTTTGATCACTTTCATACTGAAGATGTTGGTAGAATTCTTCTATTTCATCATCATTGGCTTTAGTGGTTGGTTCGCAAATTTGAATAATAGTGGTCTTAACTGGTCTTCATTATATCATACTAAATATATGTCTGTTTTTTAAATTTTTTCTCCCGCCAAAAATAAATTATATTTATTTTTTCAAAAGTTATTTTACCATTAAAACCCTTTTTTAATAGGATATGTTTACATTTTTTAGTATACCTTTATTTTAAAAAACAAGTTTGAAAATGCTTCTTTAAGCATATTCTCTCCACTAGGCCACTGAGTGGAACAGCTCATCAATAGTAAAACTTCTTAGGTTCATCCATATATTGTATAGTTTATTTGGTACCTTGTCAAATATGCTGCAAAAGCGTAATTGTTTTTCTCTTTATTGTTCTAATCATGGCCTGATCTCTTCCCACACGGCCACTTTCACATATCACTTCTTAAATGTATTTTAGTAAGCTAATTAAGGAGCCCTGGTGGCATGCTGGATTACACACCGGGCTTCTTATCATAAAGTCAGCAGTTTGAATCTACCAGCTGCTCTGCAAACTAAAGATGAGGCTTTCTGGTCCAGTAAAGATATATTTTAAATGTTTGAGGGAAAAATGTTTCTATTTACTTTTTTTAGTGAAACTTCTGAAATTCTTCCTAGTTGTTAAGATAGTTTGTTGGGAGTTATCATAAACTTGTCCTTCTAAATATTAAAAGTAATGTGTTTTATTATTAATTTCTTTCTGTTGGGTTCAAGTGTGACTACTCTTTTTTAAATTCTAAGACCTCTTAATCGTTTGTCTTCTCCTTTTTTAATGGGGAACAAAAGGAAAATGGTCACTTAAGTTATGCCTGTCCTAAAAATATGCTTGGAGAACGTGAGCCTCCAAAGAAGAAGGAAAAAAAGAAAAAAAAGAAAATTCCTGAACCAGAAGAACAAATGTATGTATATCTACTTTGACAAAATACTTTATTATGTTTTATCTGTTTCCTGAGGTTGAGCGCATTCTCTTTTTTTTTTTTTTTTAAATAATTTAGTGAGGAAGCAGAAGAAAGTGATGATGAAGGGGAAGATCCTGCTCTTGACAGTCTCAGTCAAGCCATAGCTTTCCAGGTACTAACTGCATCTTCTGAGTGGATTAGTTTCATGTTCCTATCGTACTTCATTTTTGATCATCGCCTTATGGCAATCCTTGTCTTGTCATTACCTCTTTAACTTTAGGAAATGAGACATTAGTTAGCCAAGATCATTAGACCAGTATGATAGAAGAGTTACCATCGTTCTTTCTAGATTTAAAAGGCCCCAAAATACCTTCAATGTCTTAAAATGTTTTCTTTAGAAAATCAAGCAAATTATTGGATGAAAGCAGGGTAGCCCAACAGAAAATATTCTGTTAAATCAAACATTGTTTTAAGAAGAAATGCCATTTCAAAACAAAACCAAAAACAGATTTTTGATGAGCATTAAAGACCCTAATACAAGTGTATGAAACATTCTTTTTGAAAAGGGTGTATGATCTTCTAATTTTATATAGTCAGGGTTTTTGTTGTTTTTGTTAATATAATTGATAAATTATAAAAACATATGTTGGTTTATTTTGCCTTTTAGTTAACTAATGTCTTCTCACATACATTTCTACCTCCAGAAAGGATGACAAGTAGATTTCATTTCAGGTGCCTGTTAATTAATTAGTTGTTGCTAAGTGCTGTCAAGTCATTTTCGACTCACAGCAACTCTTGCTCTATAGGGTTTCTAAAGAGCAGTTGTTGAGTTTGAGCTCCCAGTTTTGCAGTTCAAACCAACCTTGTGGTCCAGTGCTTATCCTACAATGCCCCACCAGGTCGAAGTTGACAAAAATCATTTTGAGTAACAGTGAGACTGAGACAGAACGTGGCAAAGAAAAATCAAAATCAACAGCCTGATGGAGTAGAGTTGCCTGCCATGGGCCATAGAAGTTTGACAAAATTATGGCAGTTGTGTGTTTTTGCCATGCTTTGAATTAATGCACAATATTAAACAGATTCCTGGTCTTTTTGTTTTTTGTTTTCTGCATCACATTACAGCAAGCCAAAATTGAAGAAGAAGAAAAAAAATGGAAGCCCAGCTCAGGGAATCCCTCAACATCAGATGATTCAAGACGCCCACGGATTAAAAAAAGCACATATTTCAGTGATGAGGAGGAATTTAGTGATTAAAATGAATATTTATTATGTAAATACCATTAAATTTTTTAAAAATCTTAGAGTACAAAGTTCAGTGGGGAATAAACATTACTTCTAGAACTTTGAGTATAAGAACACTTGTTACCAAATAGTTTTCTACTTTAAAATAGTCCATAGGAAATTGAAAAACATTTTCAAGTATCATGTTTTAGCTTACCTTTGCACAGTAATAAAGATCAAGATTTGTTAATAACTATTAATTCTGAAAATACTATTTTAGTAATGTTTCTGTCATCTCAAGAAAAAAGTGCATACTATAAAGATTTATTTGGAAGGTTCATTATAAAAGCTATATTCATACTGCACTGGTTTACATGAGTACTCTTATGATAAGCTTAATCTTTAAAACAAAAACTTCCTAAAATTGGGAAAAAACGGAATGATTTATTGTTATTAAGTGTTAACTTTATCCCAATCTTGATAAGTTCTAAATACCCATAAAATACAAGGGGATTTCAAAAAGTTCTTAGAAAAATTCCATGAACTCTTTGAAGCTCTTGCATATAAAGTAAAGTAATTCTGAAAGGCTTGTCTGGCCTGCCCTATAGTTCCCCAGGAGCAACTGTTTCTTTTCATATTTGCATGTTGTTGTTGAGTCAGCTATAACTCATAGCAACCAAACACAACAAAACACAGTCTTGCCAGGTCCTGTGCCATCCTCACGATTGTTACGTTTGAGCCCATTTTTGTAGCCATTGTGTCAATCCATTTCATCAAGGGTCTTTCTTTTTTTCTCTGACCCTCTACTTACCAAGCATGGTATCCTTTTCCAGAGACCAGGTACCTCGTGACATGTGAAAACATGTAAATGAAGTTTCCCCATCCTCACGCCTAAGGACCATTTTGGCTGTACTTCTTCCAAGACAGATTTGTTTGTTCCTCTATCAATAGTGCTTTCGATCTTGTTCACCATCCTCCAATCTTCCTTATTCATTGTCCAAAAATTTACATACATGAGTCCTGGTGTGGCTCTATAGGATAAGCACTGGACCGAAAGGTCAGTTTGAACCACACAGTCAGTGGTTCAAACTCACCGGCAGCTCCTCAGAAACTTTATACAAGGGTTGCTATGTGTCAGAACCAATTCAACAGCACTTAACAACAATATCTGGTAACTGAAAATGACCATGGCTTGGATCAGGTGCATCTTAGTTCTCTAAGAAACATCTTTGCTCTTTAACACTTGAAAGATATCTTTTTGCAGTAGATTTGCCCAGTGGACAACATCATTTGATTTCTTGACTGCTACCTTCTGCTGTGCTGCTGCTGCTGGAGTCCTGTTGTGGCACTGTGGGCTAATGCGTCAAACTGCAAAGTCATTTGAACTTCAGGGTCGGTGGTTCAAGCTCACCAGCTGCTCCTTGGAAACCCTACACAGGGTCACTATGGGTCAGAATTGACTCGACGGCACTTAACGACAACAACAACCTTCTGCTGTGGGTTAATGCGCTGGACAGAGAGGTCAGTTTGAACTGCAAGGTAGGCAGTTCAAGTTCACCAGTCACTCCTTGAAAACCCCTATACAGGGTTACTATGAGTTGGAACCCACTCGACAGCACTTAACAATAACCTTCCATGAGTACTCCTCCTGGTGTGGAGCTGTAGGATAAACTCTAGACTGAAAGCCACAAGGCCAGTGGTTCAGTGGTTCAAATCCACCAGCTACTCCTTGGAAATCCTACACAGGGTAGCTATGAGTCAAAACCAACTTGACAGCAATTAAGAATAACCTTCCATGAAAATAAAGAAAAATGAAATCTTTTCACAACTTAAATCTTTTCTCCCTTTGTCCTGATGGGCTTTGGTCTTGTGAAAATTTTTGTTTTCTTTACATTGAGGTGAAACCCATACTGAAGATTTTATTCTTGGATCTTCTCAGTAAGACTTCAAGTCCTCTTCACTTTCAGAAAACAAAGTGTGCCATCTATATACCACAGGTTGTTAATGAGTCTTCCTCCAATCATGATGCATATCCATTGCTAAATAATATATTTTTTTCTATTAATTCATTAGCCTTTGCTTTATTGACTTGGAGGCCATAGATGATTCTGTCACTCTTTTATTCTCTTCCTCCAACTCTTACACTCCTTGTACTCTCTTCCATCTTACAAATATGGTTGTGTTAAGATTTTTAGTTAAATCTTATATTCTTTTTATAACTGATAGTTCCGATTTTGTGTCATCTTGGCTGGGCCAGGATTCTCAGTGGTTTAGTAGTTAAGATGCAGTTATCATCTCCATGATAAGATATAAGATAAAACCAATAATACCATGATACGATGGGATGTGATCAGCCCTGAGCCGATGTAATTAGCCCATGTGTTGTAAATCCTCACTTCTATGATGTTAATGAGGTCATATGCACTCTACAGGATTAGGCTGTATCTTGAGACACTTGAGATGTATAAGGAGAGAAACCTGAGTAGAGAAACAGGGTTAGTTGATCCAGGAGGGGAGTGTGTCCATTGAACCTAGGGTCCCTGCACCATGAAGTTTCTCTATCTAGAGGAAGATTGAGGCAAAGACACACAAAACCCCAAGGAACACAGGACCTAGCAGTGTGGAAATGAGACAAGGACCTTTTTTTCCAGAGCTAGTGCTCTGAATTCAGACTTCTAGCCTTCTAAACTGTGAGACAATAAAATTCTGGTTGTTAAAGCCGTCAACTTGTGGTTCTGTCACAGAAGCATTAGATAACTTAAAACAATTACTAAATTAAAATTATTTTGTAGATCTGTTTCCCTGTAAAAACTCCAAACTCCTTAAAAAGAGAAGCTGAAACATACTAATCTCTCTATCCTCAGCACCAGTTCTCTTGCCTGGTGCATATCTGCTGCTTCTATCTCTAAACCAGGGCTTTGACCCAGTTCAGAGTTTGAACTGATTCAGTGATGACTGATGTAGTAAAATCAGGACAGGAATTTTTTAATTTGGGGTATACTGGAAAACTAAGGAGTTGAAGCCCTGGAATCAGAGACTTGAAAGGAATTTAGTGAGCCCTTTCAGAAGTCTGTTGTAGGGAACTGGATTATTGCCAAGACAGAGGTAATGGACTGGGCTGCCATTTTTGAGCCAATCATCACTGTTTTTGACTCTAGTCAAGAGATTTGGTTGCTATGCAACACACATATTCTCCTTCTTTTCTAATAGATTAAGTTTCTAGCAGGACACCAACCCATAATTTTTCCTGTTCCAGTTCATCCACATTTTACAAACTGAGGTTCATTCCAGTTTCACTTTGTTGACCATGAATGAACTGAGAAAAACCAGTTCAACCCTGCTCTAAACTAGACTACTGCCAATATCAAGAAAAAATGAAAAATCCTTCTACTTGGTAACATAAGGAGCTCTGGGAGCATAGTGGTTACAAGTCGGGCTTCTAATCTCAAGGTCAGCAGTTCAAAACTACCAGAGATTCCACAGGAGAAACATGAGGCTTTCTGCTCCCATAAAGATTTACAGCCTCAGAAACCAGGGTCGCTATGACTCGGAACCGTTTCCACAGCACATAACCACCACCACCACTTGGTATATATCCATAGGAAGTAAGAGCCAGGACACAAGTAGATATATGCACACCAGTGTTCATCACAACACTGTTCACAATAGCAAAAAGATGGAGCCAGGCTAAATGCCCATCAGTGGAAAAATAGATAAACTTTGGTACATACACAGAATAAAATACTATACAACATTGGAGAATAAAAATGAATCTGTGATCTACCTCTTAACATGGATAAACCTAGAGAACGTTGTTAAGTGCTATCAAGTCAGTTTCAACTCAGTGACCCTGTATCGGGTTTCCGAGGACCGGTTGGTAGGTTTGAACAGCTGACCTTGTGGTCAGCAGTCTAGTGCTTATCCTACAGACCACACTAGGACTCCTGGAGAACATTCTGCTGAGTGAAATTAGTCAATCACAAAAGGACAAATATTGTATGAGACCATCTCAAGAAAGGGTTGTCATGCTCAAATATTCTTTGCTATTGCTAGGCATAAAAGGGAAGAAAGAGTAATTCACTGACTATAGAATAGACAAGTTAGTTCAGTTGAAAGGGCGAACAAGATGGAATGACGAAGACAGTGAAGACACAGGGAGGTATGCAAGGGTTAAAATGGATAGAGGTAAATAGGGTTATATACATAACATCAGTGTTCTATGAGTAGATATGTGGACAGGCACAGGTTGAACAGGCATGGGAAGGAGAGTAAGAGTATATCCAGAAATATATAAGGGTTTGAAAGACTATACATGTACATGAGTATCTATCATTGCTGCAAACACATCTCTATGAATGTGGTGGAGCACACGAGGCAAAATGATGAAAACCTCTTAAATACTATAAAACATCTTAAGGCAATGAGTTCCTGGATCTGGGGACTCAGGACCATAATCTTAGGAGACACCATGGTCAACTGGCATAACAGTCCACAAAGACAATGTTTTCTATCCTACTTGGGTGAGTAGCATCTGAGATCTTAAAAACTCGTAAGTGGTCAACTAAGATGCAACTATTGAAAGAAGAGTGATGAAAATTGAAGATACCTGGAATCAACTAGTCCAGTGGACCAGTGAAGCAAGCGAACATCAGATCAGTTACCGTGACTCTGAGACAAGAACAACTATATGGTGCTATGGTGCCTGGCTACCACTAGTAACTGCTCTGAAAGGCCCGGGAGAGAGTGGCAGAAAACATGGAACAAAACTCAAAATTTTTTTTTTTTTTTAAATGGGCTTACTGGTCAGAAATAGACTAGAAGAACCCAAGACTATGGCCCTCAACCATCCTTTGGGTCTAGAATGGAACTCACCTTCAGGACCCAATTTTCAGACACCTAGTAGATAGAAATATAGAGGGAACAGTAAGGTATGCTCATCATGGAACTGTCAATCATTCAAGATCAAAAGGGCAACATTTACCTAAGGCCAAAGTTGAGAAGAGATGGGAAAGTGGGTGGAAGCAGGCTAATTGTTT